ACAAGTACCTTTATGAGGTAGTGTTGCCCTGGGCTAAGAGGGTGGCTGCTTGAAGACCCTATGTCTGGTAACAGGAATCTGTACCGGGGCACACAAGCAGGAGAACCCAGTCTTGAATGCCGGACAATTTCTGCGACCACATCACCCCTTCCATCTGGCCACCTAACTGCTCCGACTTCAACTTGATTATTATGTGTGGGGCGCAGTTAAGCGAGGGACCACAAAACTCATTGAAACACCAAGAAAGCCGCCCAGAAGAGTTGCAGGAGATTCCGATTTCGTCTGGAGGTCGTGGTTGGAAGCAATGGTAATTTTATTGAACATATTTACTCTTTAGTATTTCAAGGTGTTTTTTTGGAATTTTCTTAAATATATCTGTTAAAATGAGATGTCAGTGTTATTTTCATTTTTGACATTTCGACAATTTACTCATCGCACTCTGTATATATATATATATATATATATATATATATATATATATATATATAGAGAGAGAGAGAGAGAGAGATAGATAAATGTAGACATATATATGTGTATATTAATATATTCACTTCAATCAAGGCGATAATGACACTAATATGCTTTTATGGTTATTCGATGTGCAAGCGAATGAGAAGAATTTAGAAGGCTCCGGAAATCTGATTCTAAACAGGAAACGAGAGGTAAAACTCTGTTCCGGTTCAAAAGATGTGAACCAGGCGATATCTCTCTATCTATCTATCTATCTAGCCATCAAGAGACAGACTGTTTCGCTGTATCACAGCTCCTCTGTGTGGCTCGACAGCCGATCCCTTCAAACCGGGAACGAAACCTGACCAATTTGGTATAAGTCGGAGATTCTAACCTCTAAGTTATCGACGCCCAGCAGGGAAAAAGGCGAATTTTTGCGTATTTATTTTTTCATAAACACGCCAGACACCTAGAGGACTGAGTCAGTCTGGGGAGTCTTGCATTATCAGCAGTAATAGTGACCGTTTACAAATTCGCGATAAATATGAATGAAAGGACAAAAGGTAAACTATAATCGACGGACTTTATCAAGGCAAATGTGATGATTTTATTTTGTAACAAGTATATATTTGAGAGTTCATCAAAATATTTTAATTTAAGAATGTTCATAAATATTCCTCAGGTTAACTGAATAGCGTAAGTATTAGAACCTAGATTAATTCATATCGCGTCTCCGAAATGAAATTTTTAAATTTAAAAACGCTCATAAATATTAAACATGTTAACTTAAATGTCCAGGTATTTAGTACTTTGATTACGTCATGAAAAGATGCTCATAAATATTCATCATGTTAACTGAAATGTGTAGGCGAATAAACCTTATATTACGTTATTTAACATATTCTTTGTATTATGCATCACTAAAAATTGAAATAATGGATTCAACCGTTTTCCTTTGATTTTTGAAGACATTTGTTGCGTATGTTGGCTTGGAAAAGGTGAGATTGGGAGAAAAAAAAACGGGGCGTGGATTGATATTTTGATAATATTCGGTGGCCGCACTCTCGACGATATTCCTTCCGAGTAAATTACTTTCTCTTTTGATGAGTGTGGCATTTTTTTGCATGACAATTATGGTCAAATTTATCTGTATATAACTAGTGCATTTGTTAAGCGGTTATTTATGAGGTCTCTTTTGTGTTGGCAGGGGCGTTTTTTTTTTTAAATGACTACATTTTTCTCCAATGTCTTGTGAAGAACAATCTAGGCAATTTATTCCATAGATGCGTGCTTCTGAACTATTATTGTTATGGGTGTTTTTAGATCTGATTATATCCATGTTGGTTTTGGAAGTGGTTGTGATTATTATTTTGTTTAATTTAATATTGGAGATAATGCTGCTATTTTTGTTGCGGTCATATATTTTTTGTGCTATTCACAATGCATTGTGAATGAAGTGATAGGGATATTGGAGCTTTCATACATTTATAAATATATATATATATATATATATATATATATATATACATATATATATATATAATTATATATTCAGTTGTATATTTATATATATATATATATATAAAAGAAAAAGTTTCAAATTAAAAAAATAATGATGTTCCTTTATGAAAGTATTAGGTTATTTGTATATATATTTGGTATTTCTGATTGGCCTCAATCTTGCTTCAGAAATAACTGTTTGTTTACAAGTAGCGTCATCTGAAATAAAAAAATATATATACAAATAAATAAATACTTTCACAAAAGAGCATTATTATTTTTATTTTTAATTCTATATATACATTAAGAAAGTATACATTAGCTTATATATATATATATATATATATATATATATATATATATATTATATATATATATATATATATATATATATATATATATATATTATATATATATATATATATATAATACATATATATATATATATATATATATATATATATATATATATATATATATATATATATATATATATATATATGTATATTTCCTTTCCGTCGAATTCCACGTATGTGGGTCAAGCAGATCAGTTCCCATGGAAACCAACAGCTCAACACCAGCACAAGAGATTTGATTATAGGGGTGAAGGTTTCGTGCAGGACCACACTTTTGAAGGACCGAATTCAGAGACCTGGTACACTAATACCGTTGAATATATATATATATATATATATATATATATATATATATATATATATAATTTATATATATATATATATATATATATATATATATATTTATATATATTTAAATATTTGTCATTCATTATGCCCTTACACATACATATCTGAGAATATTTACACACACATACATATATATATATATATATATATATATATATATATATATATATATATATATATATATATATTAAAATGGAAAAAAAAAACAGTGTTAACCCCCACCCAAAATATCAGAATTGTCAATGTAAGGTATTATGTATAATTTTATATATATATATATATATATGAGTGTGTGAGTGTGTGTGAGTGCTGTAATGACTAATTACACGGAAAGTGGATTCCAAATCCTCTTTCGTTCGCTTCGATCCTAATGACATTTGGAAAGGCACGAATCCCATTTCCCTTAGTTTTGTTTTAGATGTCAGGGCGTACTGGGCTGTCTGTCCAGGATTGTTATCCTGTTCAAGAGAAGTCAAACCTGACGAGATCTGTTTGGAGATCTCTTGTCGGCCTTTGAACCATTTCTGTGCCATCTCTTCTTCCATCATGTGCGGATGGTTCTAACCAAGGCGTAATATCTATAATCAACTCAGCGATGATGTGGGTATTACGAAGTTTCGGCTATCAACTAAACTGATGAAATCGACGAAATATTCTACTACACACACACACACACACACAGACACACACACATATATATATATATAATTACATATATATATATATATGCACACACATAGACATGAGAATGACAATCTTGAATTAATGCCTTGTGACTACAATCAACTCAGCTATGATGTGGCCAGTTTGAAGGTTTGGCTATAAACTAAACTGCTGAGCATTCATTTGCTGATATCGACGAACTACTCTACTATATATATATATATATATATATATATATATATATATATATATATATATATATATATATATATATTCACACACACACAGACATGAGAATGACAATCTTGAATAAATGCCTTGTGACTAAAAACCAACTCAGCTATGATGTGGCCAGTTTGAAGGTTCGGCTATAAACTAAACTGCTGAGCCTTCATTTGCTGAAATCGATGAACTAGACTACTATATATATATATATATATATATATATATATATATATATATATTCACACACACAGAAATGAGAATGACAATCTTGAATTAATGCCTCGTGACTAAAATTTTCCTTCTCCCCATATATTTTATTATAGATGACTTTAACAATTTGTCCAAAGCTCTTTGATGTCTCTTCTGCAAAGACGATCCTTGCCTTTCTATCTTACGTTGATTTCTGGATTCGATCCATCAATGTATCTCCACCAAGGGCCGATGGTAATATGCGCGTGAGTATCAGGAAGCCATTTTACTGCAACGGGACCGAATGGCTGGAAGGGTTTTTCCTGCACGACCAACTTAAACCATTCTCGCACAAACCCTGCGGGCGTGCTCAGTTAAACCATGTGAGGGGCTAAAGCGAGACTGTTCCCACCTCCCAGTACCAGAATGAATGGGAAATTTAACGGATGTAGAAATACAAGCAGAGCGTTTGATTCCCTTCTCATTTGCTGCCGGAGAGCGAACGAACGGGTTTTGAAAGGAAGATTAAAAACGTACAGAAAAGATTCCGTGTATGAGGGTCCGACTGTTGATATGGGTGTATCTGGACGGGTTGAACGAGAATAAAAAAATATAACAAAGAGGCAAAGAAAGGAGCTTGAGAAAAAAAACAGTAGAAAGTCAGAGAGAGAGAGTGAAGGGGGGAGAGGGAGCGAAAGAGAGACAGACCAAAAGAGAGTGAGAGTGAGGGATTAATTGGTACGACATCCTGAAAAGGAGAGACGGAGATAAATGCTTTCGGAGAAGGAAAATTTGTGTGATGAATGTGATAAAGAAAGAGTAAAATAAAAAAAAAAAGAATTAAAGAAAGAAAGAATTAAAGAAAGAAAGAAAGAAAGAAAGAAAGAAAGAATTAAAGAAAGAAAGAAAGAATTAAAGAAAGAAAGAAAGAAAGAATGAAAGAATTAAAGAATTAAAGAAAGAAAGAAAGAAAGAAAGAATTAAAGAAAGAATTAAAGAAAGAAAGAATTAAAGAAAGAAAGAAAGAATTAAAGAAAGAAAGAAAGAATGAAAGAATTAAAGAATTAAAAAAAGAAAGAAAGAAAGAAAAATTAAAGAAAGAAAAAAAAGAAAGAAAAAAAATTAAAGAAAGAAAGAAAGAAAGAAAAAAGAAAGAAAGAATTAAAGAAAGAAAGAAAGAAAGAATTAAAGAAAGAATTAAAGAAAGAAAGAAAGAAAGAATTAAAGAAAGAAAGAAAGAATTAAAGAAAGAAAGAAAGAATGAAAGAATTAAAGAATTAAAGAAAGAAAGAAAGAATTAAAGAAAGAATTAAAGAAAGAAAGAAAGAAAGAATTAAAGAAAGAAAGAAAGAATGAAAGAATTAAAGAATTAAAGAAAGAAAGGAAAATGAGCCCGAATAAGAAAGTGAGATAAAGATGAATAAATTTTCTTATTTCAAACATGTAATAGTGAAAGAAAGAGAAAAGAGAGAAAAGAGAAATAGAATATGATGACGAAAAAAAGTATATTAAGAGTGAGAAAGAAAGAAAGGATGAAAGAAAGAAGGAAAAGAAAGAGTGCAAATACGAGATTGAATCGTGAATAAACTTTCTTATTTCAAACATGCAATAAGGAAGCGAACTGAGAGAGTGTGAGAAAGAGAAAGAGAGTAAATAGGAAGATAAAAAAATATAGTAATAGTGAGAAAAAAGAAAGAAAGAAAAAGAAGAGCGTGAACTGAGATAAAAGAGAAAGAGAGGAAGAGTAAATATAAAGATAAAAATTATACCAAGGAAGAAAGAACGAAAGAAAAAGAGGGTTAGTGAAAAAGTGAGAGAAGGATGAATAAACTTTCTTATTTCAAACATATAATAAGGAATCGAACTGAGAGAGAGAGAGACAGAGAGTAAATATGACGAGACAATAATTATAGTAAGAGTGAGAAAGAAAACAAAAGGAGAAAAATAAATAGAGAGTATGTGACGGCATATCACAGAAAAAGAGAGAATGAATATAGTGAATGCGGGGATGGTGGCGGGTGGGCAAAAACAAGAAGAGTCCTTGATTGAGATCCGCTCGTCTATAGACATGCGGACATAAATACATATGCTACGTTTAACGGACGTCTTCAAAAGCTTCATTCAGTTTATCAAGTAAAATCAAAACTTTGATGGTGGTACGGATTCAATTGATTATGTCTCCCTGTCTTTATCACCTTTCTCACTCACTCTCTTTCTATTTCCCCCCCTCTCTCTCTCTCTCTCTATATATATATATATATATATATATATATATATATATATATATATATAAATAATAATATTATAAAAAAATATGCATACATATACAAAAATATATAAAAATACCCATACATGTATATTTTCAGAAAAAATTTTTCCAAGAGGAAGAATCCAGGTAGAAAACTCAATGTCTAGGACAGAGTAAGGATATAATAAAAAGGCTTAAACATTAATATTCCATTTTTATAAAAGTGTTTAAGCCTTTTTATAAATATATATATATATATATATATATATATATATATATATATATATATATATATATATCGATGTCTTATTTATTCTCTTTCAGCCATTCTTTATATTTCCATATTGACTTATTTACTGAATATGTCAGATATTTGTCGCATGTTTTTCATAGGCAGCAAGAATTAATTTTAATAAATTTTGTTAAATTCCACCTGAAAGATCTATTTAATTTTTTATTGCATTTCTCTCTTTTGCAGTAAGTCCAAACAAATATATACGATGTCCCTTCAGGATGTAGGTGATCATCGCTCTCCACTTCGCCCTATTTTTTGTAGCTCTCAATATTTCTGTCACTTTGCTACTTCTCCCAGGCCATTTTCTGTCATCCACTTGCTTAAGCCTGTCATGGGTTGTATTCCCTTGTCTCTCTTTCTTTCTATTCGACCTGTGAGTATCAGATTCTCCAAGCCCTCCTTTCTCATTACGTGTCCCAGGAATTTCAGCTGCCTCTTCCTGATGTTAAGTATAAGCTTCCTCCTTGTTTGCATCTTCTCCATAACCTCATGTTTGCTCACACTCTCAGTGCATGTTATCCTTAGCATCCTTCTGTAGAACCATACCTCCGTTGCCTCGAGTCTCTTCTTCATCTTTGAGGAAATTTTCCAACATTCGCAACCGTAAAGACAGATGTCACGTAGCAGGTCAGTATTCTTTTCGTTGTTACCAAAGAAATCTTCCTGTCTCGTAATACTCTGCCTAGCCATCCCAATACGTCTACGGATCTAAGCGTCGCACTTGCCGTCTTCTGTCAGATCGCTTTCCCCGATACTTTAATTTTCACACCTGCTTGATTTTAGTGTCCCTCTACCTGTAAACCGCATTTCGGGCTTATCCTTTTATTGATGACCATGTATTTTGCTTTCTTCTAGTTTGTGCTTAGTCCTTTCTTCTCGCTCTCTTTCGCTACATTCTGTAGGAGGTTTTGTAATTTCTCTGACTGCTATCAGAACTGTGTCACCTGCGTGTCTTATGTTGCTAAGATTGTGGCCGCCAATGAGGTATCCCGGTAGGACTTCTAATTCTCTCAGAACTGCCTCCTTGTATACAGTGACCTAGGAATAGTTTTTAGCCAGGAGAAATAAAGTACATCCAATTTCAAAATTTAATTACGTAATCCTAACTCAATATTAATAAACAGTATTTGGAACTAATATAGACTAGGTCCTCCATTTGCTAATTTCAGTGATTTTATTCGATTTTTCATGGATTTGATGAAGTTATCAACAATCGTCTGAGTCATATTTTGCCGCTGTTTAGCAATGTTTCTTTAAGGGCTGCCACTGACGTGATTTTGGCTGCACGCTCTCGAAGTTTTCAAAGTGCTCCCAAACGTGCTCTATTGGATTCATGTCAGGTTTTGGGCTACCCATGGCAGTGATTTGATTCATTACGATTCCTTCCAGACATTTTCTACTTTACTCACATGACATGGCGCTCCATCTTCTTGAAAAAGTTAGACATTCTTATCAATCTGATTGGTTTCAAATAGTGGGAGTAGTTCTCTCTCTAATATTTGACAGTATTTTGGACCATTCAACCGCTCGTCAACAAGAATCATCTCAGATTTCCCTCCATACCAGACAGCGCCCCACACCATTACTCAAATCCCTCCATGTTTCACGGTCGTCTGCAGACATTCAGTGTTTCAAATCTTATTCTGATTTTTCCAAACATAAACCTGTCTCGAATTCGAATATTGGCAGAATTTACTTTCATTTGACCAAATTACAGACTGCCAAAATTCATAATCTTTACACTCGAATTCTCTCACCCAGTTCATACGCCTGTTCTTGTTAACCCCTGGAATCAAGGGCTTCTTTCTTGCAACTCTTATTTGATAGTCTAACCCTTTCAGAGTCTGTCTCACCACATATGGCGACATTGTCATGCTGTTGGTGACAACATTGATGCTCTGGCGACGGTTTCTGATGACTTCCCTATTCAGCGAACTTTTTGTTCGCTCACACACAATGCTTGGTCTTCCTGAACGTTGTTCCACACGACAATGGCCTTCTTCATTAAATTTCTTTACAATATTATTAACCGTTTGATGATTAACCTGGAAAAACTTAGCAATTTCTCTATTTGACTTGCCACACTGATGCCATCCTATTATTTGTCCTCGTTGAAATTCACCAATTTCCTTACTTCCGGAAAATTTCATTGCAAAATATGTTACCTATCGTTGATAGATGAAAGTAGCTTGATACTAACACGATATTATCTGAAAAAAAAGAAGAGACGTTATTACACAGGCCAGTATTGCTGTAATCAAGGGTAGCTAAAAACTTATCATAGCCGACTGTAGTGAGACTTTTCGTCATTTGATGCCTGCCAGTTGTCATCATGTACTGCTTAAACATGGCTCGGGTATTTTAATATTTTAAGCGCCTAACGTAGCCAGATATTTGTTTAGCAGTTCCATTCCTCAATATAATTGCTGTTGGAGCAATTAAATTATTGGTTGCGTTGGATAAATAATACTGACATCTCATTTTAACAGACATATTTACAAAAATTACACAAAAATATCTTGAAATACTAAATTCGATAAAATTGTCATTGGCTTCAAACACGGCCTCCTGACGACTTCAGAATCTTTCGCTTTCTTATTTAAGTTGGTGAATGCTGTCATAGTTCTTGCCTTCAGTTCATCTTTGGTGTTACAAGGAGTTTTGATGGTCTCACGCTTAACTGTTCCCCACTCATAATAATCAAGGGTGGATGCAGTCTGGAGTATTAAGTGGCCAAATGTAAGGGGCGATACTGCCTGTAGGTTGAATAAGTCTGGTGAGTCTTGCCTTAAGCCCCTTTATATTTTTGTAAATTTGCTGAATTCATTCTCTATGCGCATGTATGCACTTTGCTGCTAGTTTAAGTTCTTGATTATTTCGTTTATTGATTTCCGGCCGTCGCAGTCATAGGCAAGAACTAGGTGTTGTCAGTATGATATACCAAATTTTGTTGGTTGCATCCAGGAATTTTTTGCGACGATGGAATTTATATTGAAATATACACATGTAGTGTAAGTAAAATCAAGTGTAAAAATTTATCACACGTTTGACTGCACCTGAAGAATTAATAAAGAAATGCAAAAAAAAAAAATGTTCTCACAGCTAGAGCTCACACTTTACGAGAGGCTTTATTTAGGCAAAATATGTGTGCTCTTTTATTTATATAATTTTTTTTTTTTTACAAAAATGGTCAGTGGAAATATCATGATGCCATTTGTGGGCCTGGGCTCGAAAGTTAATATACTAGAATCGGTTGGCCGATCTCTCCTTCGGAACCGCTGACCATTTCACCAACTAGACGCCCAGTGAAATATTCAAATTCAGCTTCGAAAAGACAGATTAAAATTATCTTTCTTGTGTTCTAAAATGGGATGCAGAGAGAGAAAGAGGGAGTGCGTGTGTGCCTGTATTTGAGAGAGAAAGAGATAGAGAGAGTGTGTGTGTGTTTGTGTGTGTGTAAGAGAGAGAATGTGTGCGTGAGAGATAAAGAGAGAAAAAGAAAGTGTGTGAGAGAGAGAGAGAGAGAGAGAGGGGTGTTTTGTTTGGCATATCAACCTTTCTGGGTTATTTAATGCCGAACTTCAAATATTTTTAACGTAAATTTATGCCTTCAACTACAGATTTTGTAAATCGCTTTAAACTTTCAGTGTAAATGTATGTTTTATAGATAGATATACAGCGTGTCCATAAAGTCCCTTTACAATTAAAAAAAAATATATAACAACAGCAGACAAATCTGCGGAAATTGTTACAAGAATTATGAAGTCCTTTTTCAACTAATTTAATACACAATATTTACATTATTCGGACTACTCTTCTCATCTTTGTCGCCATATTTATTACAACGTTTCGGCCGTTGTACGCTCCGGCCTTCTTCAGGTGGTTGGAATTTCGCTCACTGGGGTAAACTGTTCAAGTTCCACGTGATGTTTAATTATCTCCTGTCAATTTTCCCTCTGAAAGTTCTCGACTGCCTTAACCGGGTATTGAACTCACACTCTTTGGGTCCTGTCACTGGATCGAACTAACACCTTTATCCACTGTGCCATGTGTCCTTGCACGTAAATTTTTGGGTATTATAAAACTAATGTCTTCAGCAACCATTTTTACCAGTGCTCATATTGCAATTTTGCTGTTATCATTGCACAGATTTTTTTACCAGAGCTCATATTGCAACTTTACTGTTAATATCGCTTTTCTCTGGCACTCCTTATCACTGGTTCCGATATTGTATTTATTTCTATGCTTTAATACACCTCAAAATGGGCGCCATTAGTTGCATGAAACATATCAGGACGGTACTTGATTTCTTGTCATGTTCGCTTGAAGCACAACCTCATCAATGTTGGAAAAGGCATCAGAGATCTTTTGCTTTAGGTCAGTGATGTCCCGTATCTTTGTTGGATACACGATATTTTCAACATACTCTCACAGAAAGAAGTTCTGGTGAGTGATATCTGCTGAACAAGGTGACCATTCATGGGCCATCCCTTGCAATCCACCGGTCGGGAAATGTTAGGGGTTCAT